TCTACTTTCTTTATTGCCATCCCACTAAGATCTATGCTCTGATACCAAATTGATATGCTCTGACACCAAAATCAGCAAGCAACCACGATAAAATAACAATAGACTGATGAAAATATTCAATAAGGGTTGTTCTCACGAAACACAAATGAAAGCAAACAAGATACAAGGGTGGTCTACTATTCAAGAGGTAGCTCAGCTCTCCCACAACCCTAGATGTCACTAGGAACACTGCAAGAAGAAAGAAAACTAGCAGCCAACAAAAACATGCATAAAGGAACAATGCCTAGGTTATTCTCTTTCAAAGATACATTTCACAACATTTCAAAAATTTTCTTCAAAACCTTCCCTCCTAACTTTTTTAATTTCTCCTCCTTGAATAGGTGATTAAGGCCCTCGGGGACCCACTTTGCTCCCTGCTCTTTTCTGTCACAGCATCCAACCGCACATGCTCGATTCTTTTTCGTGTAAGCAACCCTGCTCCATCTCGCGGAAACGACCATCCCATCTGGTCAATTGGATAGTGCTCTACCGGTCCCTCCTAGGTCGGTTCGTATATAGGCGTAACAGTTTATCGATAGAAATCAAATTGCAATCCAATTGGGGAACATATAAAATAGAGGAAAGAATGATATCTTAAAAGCATTTCACATCTTTTCTAATAATTTTTTAGTGTGATCCATATGCAAGGCTGATCGATCTAGCTGTAGAAACTCTTGACAGTTGATTAAAGCATTGATGTTTCCAGTATTATTGGTATAGGCTCTTGAATCTATGATCCAAGTTCTAAATCTCCCATTACTTGCGAAAGGGAAGAATGATATATTACTTTGGTGTGCCACGAGATTGGTGTGTTGTCTTAAACTACCTCACAAGAGTTTTTCTTAAACTTATTGTTGTTCATTGGTAAATGGTTCAGTCAATTCTTTGAGTGTGGTAGCATCATTCACCTTTTTCTCTTGATATTTCTTTCCATGTCCTATTTTCCAGTCTACATGCTTTTCATGAAGTTTACAACATTTATCTTTGAGATACTCAATCTTCTTACAATAATCACATGTGGGATGATTATTCTTGAGCTTTGAGTTATGAGAAGAGTTATAAGTGTATGGAGCAAAGCTTTTGTAATTTGGTGAACACTCATTTTCAGTAAGCATCAACTTCTCTCTTCTTTCTTCTCTCTTGAGTTCATTGAAGGCTTCACGGAGTGATGGAAGAGACTTTAATCTTCAATCTTCCCTCTTCATCCAATTCATGAGTTAGTCCTACTAGGTTATTTATAGGTTTCTTCTTCTTGATAATGGATTTAAACATCCCAACATCATGTGGACATTTATGTGTCTCAAATATATTCAATTATAGTCAATATTTTGTTAAAGTTTTGAACTATCGGGTGACACTTTGCTCTCCTTGGTGAAGATAATGAAGTTTGGTCTTGATGTTAAACAATTCTATGATATTATTTGTGTTAGAATATGTTCCTCTGTCAGTCTCTCAAATCTTTTTGGCAGTTTTGTGGAGCAAAAAATTTTCTCCCACTTCGGTGGTCATTGAATTGACTCGCAAAAAAATGACCATATGGTTGTGAATATTTCCATGTGCGGTGGTCGGGATCAGTGATCTCAGGAACTGTTCTCTCTCCCGTGAGATGTTCATTTTTTCATTTATCACATATATATATAAATACGGATTGAGAACATTAAAGGAAGTTATGACTATTGAGTTTGTGATTTGTGATGAAGTTAGAGAGTTCAGTAGCCATTTTGATAAAATTCTCAGTTTATGATTCTGAATTGACCTATGGAGTAGAACTGGATGTCTTCATCCCATGCTTAATCTTGAATCCTATGTTTTTAGGATTTTTGCTGGTTATAGAAAGAGGAACTGCTAGCTGCCACTGCTGCTATTCCTTGCTGCCGAAGCTGCTGCTTCTGTGCTTCTGCTTGCTGCCGCTGCTGTCCGGTGACTGCGGCTGCTGTGGGCAGGGATCTGGCAAAAGAAAGTATATGCTGCTGATGAGGCTGCTGTATGCAGGAATCCAGGTAAAGGAAGGTAGATGCTACCGCTGTGGCTGCTACAAGCAGGAATCAGGCTGCAGGGAGGAGTTGCAGAGGCAGAGAAATGAAGAGGAGGATCTTCTGCAGAAGAATTCAGGCTTCTGGAAGAGCTTCCGGTGCTTCAGGACAGAACAAGTAAAGGCTGCTGGTAAGGAGAAGAGCTGCACCCTGCTGGGAGGAACCAGCTGCTGGGCAAAGAAGTCTTCCGGCTGACCTGCAGGCTGTCTGAGGGATTGGAGAGGGATTGAAGAGGTTCCGGCGGCATGGAAGCTAGGGTTTAGGTTCAGAGAAACAGGTTTTGGGATGAAAAGAGAGTTTCCTAAGTTATCCCCAATCAAATCTTATCTATTTTTGAATCTAGTGGCCGACCCACATGATAACGAAAGAGGGAAACTTTATCTTCTCAGATTTCTACATAACCGATTGAATATTCCTCTATTATGTATAGGGATTTGATAGAACTATATGCTCATTTATTGTGTATGCCAAGGATTGGTATTATTCACTGAGAAAGCTGAGAGTAGCTCAATGGATTTGTTCTCATATATGATCAAACAAATGTGTTAATGATGAACACTAATTATGAAAAATGTGCTTATGAGAACTGATGTATGAATTGCACAGAGTTGGTCAAGGGAACTTAAATTTTTTAGATGATATGAGTCCACACAGATTAATTGGGATGATGTTGTTGGAGTGATGGTAATGGAATAGCCCTTGATTTTACTTATTGTCATATTCATGGAGAGAGCATGAGTGGGGAATGATCAAGAGGAAGAGAGAAGTTTTAAGAGTATAAAGCTATTGATAGGGAGGGGGATCAGGAGAAATTTTCTAACTGAGGGAAGCATATAATGGTAGAATAAAGCTAGATTTAGCATTCGTGCTTTATAACTCAATAATATAAATTATCAATAAATTTTCATATTATCTTTTACATATACTAGTCCTATAGCCTTAATTACTTGCTGTTTGTATAGGAATTCTATCCACAAGCATGCCATGCTGAAATGAGTTTACTGAAGGCATAATTAATGTTTTAAGTACATTGATCAAGATTTAACCTAATGCTTACTCAAAGATTATGTGTCACACGTGTAACGTCGGAGGAAAATGTATTACCTGATTATAATGTCTAAGAATCAAAATCTTAGTTAATGTTGAAAGCGACAATCTAATATTGTAAGAATTAGTTGCCTGAAAATAAGGTTTTCTACCTTTATGCTATACTTAGGATTAGAATATGCTCGACTAAGCTACATGCTTTTCTTGAATTTCAATATATTTATCAAAGTACTCTATAGCCCTTCTAAAATTATGAAGAGAGTCAAAGAGGGGTCAGAGATGTGGAAAAATTTGAGGAAGAAGCATAAAGATTATCCACATCTTGCCTCAAAGACAATTATAGTTATTTTAATGCGAGGATGCAAAAGTGATAGTTGCTTTAATCCAATCAATCATGAGAAGACTATTTACAGGACAATTGAGGTTGGTGTCAATATGAAGCTTTTTCTCTTTAGCCATCGCCACTGGGATCATGTTGGTAGAAATGAGAAGATTATGGAATTAGCATCTGAAATCGAATTAATTTGGCAGTTCACCTAATATTATTAAAGGATGTACTAGAATGTTAGAAAATAATCATTAGCTTACTCTAATATCAGGCAGAGACGGCCCCAAGGGGCTGAGATCCCAGTGCTCCGTGATGAAAAAAGTTTTTGGTTGAGTGAACGAAGAGAGAATATTAGCAGCCATAATAGTTGGGGGT